GATTACTGGAATTCACAGATTCTGGGTGAAACTGGTGCCATGACTCCTGTTCTGCAGCTGCCTCTGGGTGAGTGGCTCAGGGAAGTGACCAAATCTGGCCGTATAAAGGAAATATTTGCTTTTCTGTTGTGTGCTGGCCAAATTCTGTTCCCTTCAGAGGTGGTACACGAAGAACCAACAGCACCTTCCACCCTGCCCCAGCAGAATAAGGACACAGATTTTCACTGCAGACTCCACAACAATTTTTCTTGTGTTTTTAAGGGAAAAAAACACTACAGCATTCCTCACACTGTGCTAGGCGTAGATTTTCTCTAGAGCTAAACCCCAGAATATAAAACTATGCACAATAAAAAGACATTGTTCAAACACACCATGGTACGAGCAATTCCCATATTTAAGCCCACTAGCAGTGTTTGAAAGTCATTTCAACTTCTCCATCATCTTTTAAAAACTCATTTTCTTCCCCAATTTCAACAGACCTGACCAAAACACAGACGAGGATTTGACACTGGTCACTCCTTACAAACCAGGGCTCACCTCAGGCCCCCCCCCCAAAATCTGAGCACACATTTGAGGGTTAATTCCTGCTTGTTCTCAACAAACCCAACCCTGCCCAGCAGCTCCCTCTCCAAATCCAGGGACACATCCAGCAGTTTCCAGGGATTCTGTGGTCGGTGGGACCAGCTTTGAGCAGCCCCAATAAAGCAGAAAGTGATAAAAATCACAAGCTTGGTTTTTGTTTTTTTTCCTTTTTTTTTTTTTTTTTTTTTTTTTTTTTTTTTTTTTTTTTTTTTTTTTTTTTTTTTTTTTTTTTTTTGCTTAAAGAACTGTAAACATTGAAAGCCTCAAGTCAACGCTGCTCAGCCTTTACACACAATGCTCAGCCAGACAAAAAGCTGCAGGAATTCTACTGGGAAAACTGGGATCTGGGGAGAATCAAGTGCTTTAACCCTTCTACTGCTAAAAACACACAAGGTCTTGGAAAATAAACCACACGACTTGGTACAATTTCTAGAAACAGAATTACAGTACTGACATTAAAAACAGTTTCTAAGGCTCAGACTGAGTCCAAAAAGGCCTCTGGTTGGGTTCATTCAAGCTCTTATGTTTGGACTGCATGAATGCAGCATTAAGAATGATTGCAGCAAGACATCCACAGGTAATTTCTACATTTATTTTTGTTGGTTTTTTTTTTCTTTTATACCAAAAAAGTTATGTGCAACAAATAGAATTCGTACATATTTACATGGGTTTTTTTACCTGTTAGCAAAATTGTATCCTAAACCTCCAGTAGAGAATCTCTCAGCCTATATTGAGAAAAGGAACAATGACTCCATTTTAAATGGGTGTTGGATTTGGAGTTGAAAGCACTGGGAATAAATAGTTGATGGAACATACTATACAGAACAAACACCTAATATTTAGGCCATGCTTAACACAGTTTTGTGGTAACAGAATACTCCATTTCTTTTCTGGACCAGTTTAAACAACATTGGCAGAACCAAATCCAAGCTCTGATCTCAGCCCACATAAATTAGGAGCAGAACTGCCTGAAGCACCTCACCAACCTCCTGCAACAACTGAGACTACAGCAGCACAAAAATGCAAAATCCAGCATTCAGAAACCTCCTCAGCAGACATCTGCTGCCACCTCAGATCTCAAAGGTGCTCGGGAATGTTTCACTGGCCCCAGTGTCACAAATGTTTCACAGGAAGAAACTCCCAAGAATATTCATTTCCTCCACGAGACTGGAGTGCTTTGTTGGCCTTAAAGAGTACCAAGTACCTTACAGTAAGAGGATTTCAGGAATGTTTAATTCCTAAGCAGGGTTTGGGATGAGGTTTGTTTTTTCTTTTTTTTTTTTGCCTTTCCAGTCTGCCCCTCATTGTAAAATTTCCAACTCAGGATATTCCATAATCCTAAAGGAGTTCTGGGATTCTGAGAGCCAGAGGGGGGCAGGAAGAGCCCAGATTCAGAACTTCTGTTTGGATACTGTGAATTTTATCCCTTCCATTCTCCTGAGTGTTGAAAGCACAGCAAGGATCTCTGTAACACCCCCCTGTCCCTTGCCAGCCCAAATATCATTTACCTGCCTTTACCCAGACTCCTGCATCCTTGAGAATTTTTAGGATTTGCCTTTGGATTTGTAAGGGTAAAACCAGTATCAAGCACACATTTCCCACCACATTTTGGCTGGGGCAGGCAGGGGGGCACAGCTGCACTCCTGATTTCCATCACAACCCATTTTACTGGAAGGAAGATGCTGTTTTCTATCAATGGGAGCAGCAAGGAAAGAGTCAAAAGAACTGGAAGCAGAAAGGTCCAAATTTCCCCTGATAAGATTATTCTGCTCTTTTATTCAGGCCAACTGCATTTCTGAAGCACAAGAGAGAAACAGAAGAAATCAGGGCCATTTCTAGCAAATCACTTCCAGTAAAAAGTAACTGCAAGGGAAGCACACAAGACAAGAGAGTTCACAATTAAGGATCAGATTTGCAAGGTCGTGCACAAAGTATGGCTGCAAATTCTCCCAGAGCCCAAACTCCAGCTCCATTTGCTCCCTATGTGCACACTAACAAAATCTGGCCCTAAACATTTTTACTAAACAAACTGAATCAACAGACTATGCCCACACAAACAAGCACAAGACACAGTGAAGTCAACACCAATACTTTCAGCTGATGGGGCTTTTTTTCCCTCTTTTTTTCCCAGAAATTGGACCAAGTACTCATGGATTAGACTTGCCTCCATGGCTGCTTGCTCTGAGACAGGAGCAACTTTCAGGCAGCACATGTTCACCTCTTCCTTGGATGAAAAAAAGATGCCTTTAGTGTAGATCACAGGAATGCATTAAAAAAAAAATCTATACAACACATTAAACACTGCTACTGCCTCAAGGCTTGGGAGAGAACAAAGCCAAGCCTTGAGGGACCAATTCAACATCATTCATTCCCCTTAATATCAAAGTGGAAGGCATTTGAGAGACAGAACTAAACATCAAGACAAGCTTTAACTATACTCTGGTCAATACAAAACTCATTTAATGGATTGTTGGCTAAGACTGTCAGATGAGGGACAAGTCATTTAGTGTTACATGCAACAGATGTTACTCACACCACACAACTCTGTACAGAAAAGCAGTTTCCACCTCCACCCTTGGTACAAACCAGAATTACTTCAGTAGTAATTTAAGTATTAATTTTGTGAATTCAATCTCCAACCTTGTTTTGCTCTATGGAAATACTGCTCATTTCACAGTCAAGTTTATCCTTAGTGTTTAAAATCTACTTACAATGGAAGTGTCTCTCTGACATTCATGTTTGAGAATCAAAACGCTAAAAGGATTTAAATTAGTTCTTTAAATAAATGGGTATGTAGTTGGAATTCTTCATATTTCGAACTGACAAGGGCAAAAAGCAGCACAGCACCAATTACAGAAAGTAGCTGAACCCACACAGTTTGGTGTTACACAGTCAGAAACACGAGTATTTCACTTTTCCAAATCACATCAAACTTTTAAATTAAACTGAAAACAATACTGCTACCACTTCTCAGTCTAAAAACTAAAACCAGATCTCTTAATACTCTTCTATCCCCAGCAAGTTTGCTGGGAATTTTGTTTGTTCATTTTTTAAAGCAAGGACACTTCTGCCTGCCAAGTTCAACACAAAGTATTTGGTTTAAGATTTGAAGACAGAAGGCACTTTTAACATTCAGCCTTAGAATACTGAGTGCACAAACAATGTGTACAATTTTGTTCCTTTGTTTAAATCTGCAGTTTAATATTTTTTTTCCCCAATTAGTTCTTAGAAAGAGCAATGATAGCACTATATCACATTTCATTTTCAGGAGCACACTGAATTACTTATCCCATTAAACAGGTTGCCCTTCCAAGAGATCTTCTGTGTGTGTGTGTGTGTGAGGCCTAAAGTTCATTTCCCAATATAGCACAAACCAAAGATCCTGACCAAGATCAATTAAGGAACTGCTTTTTCAGTGTACTGCTTGGTTATCCTGCTCACTCAGTGGTTTCCACTGCAAATTGCAATTCTATACTGCAGCATTCACAGAACATCAAACATTAGTAACACTGGCTGGCTGAGCACAGCTTCAAATGGAACAGCTCTGCTTGGAAATGGAGTCCTTTCAAAGAACACTTCATCCAACCCCCAGTCTGCAAATCAGCTTTTCATTGACCACATGAAGCTATTTTTGTTCTGTACAGAAATTAATGAGGTTGTCGTTTAATCAACATACTTCAGGTTTCAGCTTTAATTCCATTTTTGTTACTGGAGACAAAAAAAAAAAAAAAAAAAAAAAAAAAAAAAAAAAAAAAAAAAAAAAAAAAAAAAAAAAAAAAAAAAAAAAAAAAAAAAAAAAAAATTAGAAATGGAACCAACCCCAAGCATCATTCTTGTGAAAGCACAACAGTGAGAGCAGCAACTCCATGTTCTTTAGAGGTCACTTCTTCCAACGTGTCAGTCGACTCTGAGCTGAACCCTTTGACAGCTCCTAACCAAACCCATGGGACAGTGAGTTCTCCAGGGATGAAACCAAGAGTTCTAATTTTATTTACAGTATAAGTCCTAGTCAAATCTAAGTCCAAAAAAAAAAAAAAAAAAAAAAAAAAAAAAAAAAAAAAAAAAAAAAAAAAAAAGGAAAAAAAAAAAGAGAAAAAATACACATACTGTAAACATGGCAACATTAAATATGGTGATGCTAGTCTAGAATATTTCATGTCATGATCACATCTTGTTATACCTGAATTTATATACAGGATATTTTATAGCAAGTGTTACCCACTTCACAAGTGGAGAGGGAAGAGAGAGAGTCTAGGTTCTGCTGTGGATAAAACTCCTTCAAAGTAAAGTTAAAGCTTGTCTTTGATTGTTATAGAGCTTTCTTTCATAACCGTATTGAAACTGAAGATTAGCACAGAGAAATTATCTGGGGCCCCTTGAAATTTATAATTCAAAATTTCCATTATGATTCTTGTGGGGGGGAAAGGGGGGAGAAAAAAAGTGTCTGATATGGAGAATAAAAAAATTACTGCAAAATAAACTTAATGGAAGTTGGGTCTTCAGACTGTCAGTCAAAAGTTCCACCAGGGGTTATTCCTGTTTGGGTTGGAGTTGCCTCTTCCAGGCCTCGTTCAAATAAACTAGTCGTTTGTAGTTGATGATAAAGAGAATGAAGTTCAGCAAATATGTGAGCACGCAGACAATGCAAAACTCCTTCAGCACGAAGTACAGAATGTATGCCAAGTACAGGGACCCTACTACAGACACTATGGAGGATGTCATGAGGATTAGAGCTGCTACTGCACTTGCTGTCATACCTGCAACAAGAGAGACAAAGTTACTCACCCCTCTCCACACAGAGCAAACCTGAATTCAACCTCAGCCACTCAGCAACAGTTACACAAAATTCTGGTTAAAACACCACCTGGGTATTTAGAGAGGAGTAGCTAAGGCTCTGTCTGACAGCCCTGTGGTAAGGAATGTGTGTAGGATTAAGCATCCTATTCCTGAGTTATAGGAAAAATTGTAGTCAAGTTATTTCTGTCAGGATTAACAGCTTTATAGCAAACCATAGAGTTACCAAGAAATATATGATTGTATTTCATGCACTTTTTTGCTTGCTCTCTCCATTACTCCTCCAAAACTTGCCCATTCCATTTTTATTCCCTCTCTTTTCCACCATGCAATTCAATGCCAAATATACAGAAGTGAAAATACCAGCACAGAAACTGTCTTCACACTTGGATTATTAATAGCATATCAGGAGAAAATGCAATTACTCTTGTTATCAGTTGGGTTTTTAAGCCCTTTGGACAGATGTATCATTAGAGTGCTGCTAAAATAACCCCAAGATATAAAAATCAGAAGCATTTATCTGGTTTCCTGCAGATTTTGCAATGGATATTGCTCTCCACCTTCATCCCCACAGCCCTGTTTGTACTTGAGGCTCTGAAGTGAATGAATACTTACCAAGTAGCATTTGTAGTATATAAAACACCAGGCCAAAAACACTGTTTGACTGATTTATTGCACTGTCCTTTCCAAAGATGGAACCCAGGAGACCGAATCCTCGACCCCATCTGTAAAAAAGGGAAACTAATTAACTCTTATTTGGCCACCTCCTGCTTTCCAGCAGCATTTTCACTTTAGGGCTGTTGGGGAAAGAAAAGGACACATATTCTGACATGATTTATGTGGTGTTCTCCTGGAAAACCAAGCAGCAACAGGGGGAGCACTGGGCACAGCTTCATCCCACACCTTGCTGATTAAAGTTGTTTGACACACCAGGAGCTGCTGAGTTCACCCAGCTGGAACTTCACTGAACACCAGCTCTGCTTCCCAGGGCTGGAGTTTGGAGCTGTTTTGTCACATAAACACTTCCTTCCCCCAGTGACAGCTTTAGCAGCTCTCTGCACCACAGTTAATTGGACACAAGGTCACTACGAAGCTGAGGCAAGGATTTGTTCCACTCACTTGTCTGCATCAGAGCAGGAGAATCAGGGCACAAATCTGTACCTCAGCTGCTCCTCGAGCAGCTCAGGAGGAACCCAAATCTGTCAAGCACACGAGCTGAGGATGGCACCATCACAAGATCCCCAGCCCTCGTTTGCTGGAGCTCTTGCACAGTGTGACACTTCGAGCCAACACCTGAAATCCCTACAAAGTGACTTTCAACCTTCCAGTGATAAGGCAGAAAGCAGCACAAGCCCTACAAAACTGCTGCTGCAGAAGGAGGAGGAAAGATTAAATTAGCAAATGTGTTTGTGCCAGAAACCATTAATTCCATGCCCTAAAGCAGATCATGCTATTATTTGTAAAAGCAGTGTGAGAACCCTATTTATTAGTGTCACTTGAAAATATGAAGTTATTTTGTTACTCCAAGGTAATTTAACTCACAAGAACACACTGGGATATCTGCCAGCAAATTTTTGGAGCATCAAGCCAAGCATCACACAAATGTAAGGTTTGCTTCACATTAGCAGCTTAACTGAGCAAGGCAAAAAAGTGCCATTCCTCATCCTGCTGCAGCAGGAAACTCCAAGGAAAGTGCAATTTTCAGGAAGTTTCCTGTCCCAGAGGCAATGGCCCTGCTGAGCCAATACACAGCTCAGGTGTGTCCCTCCACGTGGCAGGAATGATGCTGATGTCACTCACCTGGGACCTGCCATCACCACAACACAAGCAGTTTTCTCACAGAAAGAGGCACCACAATGAGGATAATTTAATACCATCTCTAAAAACACTTTCTAGTCTCACAGCCATCTGTGCAAAACTCATCATTTTAATTGCAGACTTAGTTTGAAGTCACTATTAATACTCTCGTCCTCTTCTCCCCAAGAAACCCAGCAGGACCCAATTCTTAGAGAGCAGATTTACTGTATAAACAGTCAAAAATTAAACATACTTTCAGCTAGTTTGGTCTGAAATCTTTTAAAAGTGAAACTTTTGTGCCAATATTAAGCTTCAAGGCAGCACAAACAATGCTCTTCCAGGGGACAGAGCCTCAGCATCCCAGAGCTGCAAGGAAAGGCAGTGCAGAACTGCCTGGCTCTCTGCTCTCATCCCAGAGCAACTCTGGGGCGATGGAAATTACAAGGAATTACAAAGAATCTCAGTTATGGTGAGATTTCCTCCCACTCCTTCAATGTTATCTGGATTTTAAGTGAGAACTGTTAGTTTTTTAGCCTTCTTTGAGAAGATGGTCACAGCACATGTAACAATTGCCTTGTGCTGTCCAAATTCCAAAGGCTGAATTAAAAAGCCATACAAATACATTAAAGAAATTATAATTTCTCCATTTAATAGTTTATACCTATTTTTCTGTATTCCTACATTTATAGATGCTTATTGTTGTGGCCTCCAAGTGAGAATTCTTTGCAGGGTGACATTAAATGATTTGAACACACTCAGGTTTTCCTGCACAACCCAAAGTGGGCAAAGGTTCAGCATCAGCCAAACTCCAAACGACTTCAGGGTGCTGAATCCACCCCTAGCTGAGTGCTCTCACTCCTGATGCTCAGCAGATCCCGTGGTGTCTGAGAGCAAACTGGAGCTGAAAGCGTCAGAAATGGCATTTTACAGAACCTGACCCTGTTCTGCAAGAGAATAATAAAATGTTGCCAGAGGAGGGATAATGAGTTCCAGCCCTTCCCAGGAGTGAGAGTCCTGGAGTGATCTGTGCAGAGCTGCAAGGTCAGAGCACAGGGAAAGCTTTTTCCACGTGCAGGGGTTCATTAAGTGTCTTGTTGGCCTTGTAGCAGCTTTGAGGACATCAAGTATTAAATATCAGCCCATGGAGTCCAGGTCTAATCTCACATCTTATTGCACACACGTGGAGACAGCTAAGCAGCCTGGGGTTTAGCACACAACACTTTACCAGCCTTATAAGGTTTGGAGTGGAGCAAGTGTTCTGTATCAAACTGAAAAGCAAAGTATTTAGACTTTATATATTTACTTTGTATACTCCCTTTCCATGTCATTTCCCTGCTGAAAAGTCTAAATCCTCTCCTAATTTTATTAAGGTCATAAAACTCACAATGAACCAGGAACTTCTGCCAGCAAGTGGAGGAAGGATAAAAACTCAGTGCAAAATGTTCATTTTCACACCAGACTCAGGTGTGAATTGCCTGATTGATGATAACTTTCAAAGCCTAAAAAAACATGGCAAACAAATAGCAAGAAGAAAATCGTAATAACAAGATAAGCTGCAAAAAAATAAACTCA